CTTTAATGTAATTTTTTAAAGAACCTGTTTGTCTTGCAACCATGAAATTTGTATTTTTGGAATCTATAATTAAGGCAAACAGATCACATTCCTGAGTGATTTTATTGAGCATATGATGAAAAGGCATAAACAGAGCTTACCATCAGTGAAAACCGCATACAAAGTGATTAGTAGACCCAGAGATATAGGCAGCTAAAGTTACAAGCAAACCTTGACTTTTCCTGTGTAAGCCAATCTTGTTCCTTCCTTTTTCTAACTCCCATACTTCTCAGTTGATCAGTGCAGCTAACATTCACATTAAAAAACAAATCGGGAGATACAGGACGTGTTAGGGTACAAGGTCAGGATGTACTGTTACAGAAAAAGATAACATCTGCATGTGCTTTCAGCTGCCTCCATTTCTGAATCTACTGGTTATTTTATACCCAGGTGTGTGACAGGTTTGCTTTAAAGCTGATCTCCAGGCAGATATACAAGGCACAAATAATTGCCGCTCTCTGGTCATTCATTAATAAATAAATAAATATTTTTAAATGCAAGCAATGCAACTTACCTGAATTTGAGTTGGTATCAGCCTCTTGCAGTCTCTGCGTAGCAGAAAACAGTGACTTCACAGATCAGTGTTAGAACCAGTGTTGACCTTTCCACATGGAGTAACAATTTGATAGCAGTTGCTGAGCAGCCACTATATGTTTCCTTGGGGCAGGTATGCAGTTTGGGGCTTCCAACTTCACTGGCTGCATACTTACCTTGTTGTTGGGTAGAAAAACACAAATGAGGATGATGGCCTCGCCCTCAGGGATTCCATCTTTAAAGCAAGGTGGCATTGGCAGTTTACCTATTTGTGTCCTTTCAGGTCCCTTTATTGGACTCCCCAGAGCATTATGTGATAATATGTTAACCCAGGTAGCCATCTAATGTACCTTATGGGAGGAGGAACGATTGTATTCCGAATGATCGACTTTTGTTTTTCCAGGTGAAAAGCCCAGGGTAAAGCTGATGTAAAATGCGCCCACAATCTAATAAGTATGTAGCGGTATAGCTAGAGACAGAGGTGGACTCTAGGCTTTGTGAGGCCTTAGGCAAACTGTAGACATTAGGCCCCACTCAGGCCCATAATGGGAAAAATAAAGCAACCAAAAATTAACTCTGGGAGGGGAAAGTCAACCATTGGCGGTTCATCCCTATCCCCACCAGTGCCACTGATGTTATCCCTATCCCCACCACTACCACAGATATCATCTCTATCCCCACCACTTCCGCTGATATCATATCTATCTCCACCACTGTCACTGATGTCATTCCTATCCCCACCACTTCCACTGATGTTATCCTTATCCCCACCACTACCACGGATATCATATCTATCCCCACCACTGTCACTGATGTCATTCCTATCCCCACCACTTCCACTGATGTTATCCCTATCCCCACCACTACCACGGATATCATCTATATCCCCACCACTTCCACAGATACCATATCTATCCCCACCACTGTCACTGATGTCATTCCTATCCCCACCACTTCCACTGATGTCATCCCTATCCATGCCACCATCACCAGCACTGATGCAATCCCTATCCCCACCACAGCCGCTGGTGTCATCCCTATCCCCACCACTGCCACTTATGTCATCCCTACCACTGCCACTGTCATTATCCCTATCCCCACCACCACCACCACCACTGCTGCTGATGTCATTCCTATCCCCACCATTGCCACTAATGTCATCCCTATCCCTACCATTGCCACTAATGGCATCCCTATCATCATCGCCACTTATGTCATCCTTATCAACACCACCACTGCCCCTGATGTCATCCCTATCATCCCTAGCCCAACACCGCCACTGATGTCATCCCTATCCCCCCATCATCCCTGCCACTGATGTCATCCCTATCCTCCGTCACCATGGCCACTGACGTCATCGCAATCCCCCCACCACCACCACCACCACTGATGTCATCCCTATCTCCCCATCATCACTGCCACTGATGTCATCCCTATACCCACCACCACCACCACTGCCACTGATGTCATCCCTATACCCACCACCACCACCACTGCCACTGATGTCATCCCTATACCCACCACCACCACCATCACTGCCACTGATGTCATGTCTATCCCTCCCCATCACCACTGCCTGATGGGGGGAGGGGTGGGTAGAATGGGATCAATCAGAGGCAGTGGTAGTGGTAGTGGTGCTGATAGGGGATGGGATCAGTGTCAGTCGATTCCCCCTCTTTCTCCAAAGTGTCTCCACTTGCGTCTGGCTTCCTTCACGTGCCTCCAATATGTTTTAGAAATATTACACTCAAGTCATCCATCTGGTAAATGTAACAGTGGATAGCATGCTTATGTCATCTCTCAACTGTACTTTCAAGCCCTCAATTGGCTGGTGTCATAGATAATCACATGTGCAACTGCAGATCTAAACAGAAGCTAAGATGACACTGACCTCAGCTTAAAGGCCTCTTTAACATGGATGTCATCCTTGCAGTCATGTTGTTTTCAAGAAAAAATGGATTCAATTTACATCCATTTGCACATCCGTCTTCAGTTCAGTTCAGTTTACATCAATTAGCCCTTTATTTCAGTTTATATTAGTTCAGTTCAGTTCAATGTAGGCCTCTTTCACATGGACGTTCTGATCAGGTCCGCCGCCCCGTTTTTCAGGCGGACCTGATTGGAACTTCCATTCTCCTCTATGGAGTGGCAGGTGCAAACAGACGTGTCCATTTACTCCTGCCGACATCCAATCCGATCCGCAAAAAAGGGATGGATGGGGATCAAATTGCTGTCAGATCGGGTCGGATGGAAACGAACAGGTGGTCCATTTTCATCCAACCGCCCACTGAGGACAGCAAGCTGCTCTGAATCTAGCTGAACGGACGCAGACCTGTCATCCGATGAGCAAGCGGATCCGCTAAATGGGTCCGCCCATGTGAAAGTTCAGTTTACATCCGTTCCTTTCTGTTTCAATGAATCTGGACATTGGCTGTTCCATTTAAAAAAACTGACCTGATCGGAGATGGATGTTTGCGGATGTAAACTGATGATCATCCATTTACTTCCAGCCACCGATAGACATACATTGTGTTTCAGTCTGCATCTGAAAACTGACAGACGGTTCTAGACTGAACACCTGTGTGAAAGGGGCTAGCAGGGGCAGACTGATAACTCATGGGGCCCCTGGGCAATAGGAGATCATGGGGCCCCTGTTTCCTTGCCCAAACTCAAAGCCTATGAAAAAGGTACCAGGGGCATCTCATGGGGCCCCCTACTGACCCCGGGTCCTTGGGAAGTGCCCGAGTTTCCAAATGGTCAGTCTGCCCCTGGGGGCTAGTTTAGATCAGATTTAAAAATATGAACTAGCAGAGTCAAACTAAAGTGTATGATGCAGTGGGCTTGGGGAACAATAGAATAATACACAAACATCCTCGTCTTGGTCTTCTAGATCCCTTATCAAAGCACTAGGAAGCTTCTTTTGTTTTTATAGACTATAATTGTGAACATAAAAAAACTTTTCTACACACAAAATGTGTCAGTATATTTTAAGCAAAAACTTAAGTTGGAATTTAGTCTCTTCCAAAAAAAAAAACCCCCCTGCATTTAAAACTTAACACATGAAATGATACACGCAGACCGTGAAATTACTGTCAATGCAGGTTTGTTAACAAATACAACTGGAAACATGGTTATCAGAAATAAAAAGGCAGGTAAACAATGTACAATAAATAATAAGGAAACACAAAACATACTTTATTTTTTCCATTTGTTTATACAAAATAAGTAAATGTGAAGCCCAGACGCTTCTTAAAATTATAATACAGCAAAAGAGGGGTGTTTCCTTCTGCCCCTCCTTTTGTTTCCCAGATAAAAGTTTCAGTACTGGGATTTTGAAAAAAAAAAAAACAAAACAGAAATAACCCTGCAATATTTGTGTACATCTTTTATGAGATGCATGTCTGATGTAGGTAACATCTTGCCATTGCTAAAATCACTGAGCAAGAGACTAAGCCTATAGTTACCACCAGAGGGCAACCTAACACCATTCTGTGATGTACATCAAAGAGACCACTTTAAACCTCTAGAACTAGTCTTCAGATTTTTTTTCATACTCTCCCTTGCATTTTATCATCCAAATATAAGAACGGAAGGTTCATGTATTTGACACCCATTTCTTATGCAGTCTATGCTAATGCCAGCTAAGAATTTAATCAATGCAAAAGCTTGGAGTGAGAGCAATACCTAAATCCAATCCTTCTGATTAGCATGTGCATTTCAGCTAACATGTCTTATTGCTTCAAATAACTGCCCAGCATCACAGAGGATGTATATGAAAAAAAGTAATTTTTTTTTTATAACCAACTGACCACAGTATGATTTTGCGTTTCATCTGATTTGTAATTTGAAGTAAACTTCAGTAAAGAATACAACTTGGAGTTTAGGCGAGTTATTGGTAGTTAAGTACCAAATGGTAGAAAGCATATTTTGGGCCTGGCTCAGAAAGACATAAATGCCAAGTGAATGTTAGAAAAGAGAATTGGTCCCAATCTAGGTGACAGACTGGAGACTTAAACAGAAATAAGGAGGCAGTTTATTCTTTAACAGCAGCCATGAAGGTGAATTTTGGTTTTGGCATCTTGTTGGTCCCAATCATCGCCCACATCCAGATAGGTTGTCCAATGCTTTGGATGAGTCAGGAGGCGGCAGGATGGAAGTCCATCTTTTACTGTCAGGGAGGTGGCTTTTGGTTTTGTTTATATATACTACTTGCTTTTGGTTTTTCTCTTGAGCTAAGATGTCAGAAAAATGTTTATTTTGAGATCAGCAGGGCAAATCATGTTGTGGAGCATAAGGTGCTCCTGGACATCTTGTCTTCTTACCCTTTGTAGGATCAAGTCTTTGTCCTATCAAATTCAAAATAATAAATCAATTTCAAAGGAATGTAGATAGTAGTCCATAAAGACAGTACGTTTATTTGCCATTTATTACCATACTGTGCCCTCATTAATGTCAGGGTTCTGATGGGGTAAAGGACCACTAAAGCCACTATTGCTAGACATAGAAAATGGAGGACTTGGACCACTGCTGAAGACTTCTCCAGAAATGGGATGCAGCGACCCAGTCATGCCAGGCTCTGGACTGGGTGTATCTGGGTGAGATATCATGTCCGCATATCTTTGGTTTTCTGAAGGGTGGTGACCAGCTAGTGGTGGTTCAAGAGGGCCAAGAGGAGTGGAACCAGGCCCTGAATTCTGTAGGTAGCTGGAATCTGCTGGAGATTGTGTCTGGGAGGATGGAGGCCCATGAGGGAAAAAGTCATAATTTCCACTTCCATAATAGTCCCCTTGGTAATCTGTAAAAATAGTGAAATGTAAAAAAAAAACTAAGAATATATTTGTCTTTACATATATGTTAAACATTTCTCTTCTACTTCATATGCCTGTATTCCCAATGCTTGTGTTAAATGACCAGTAAGCCAACAATAAAATCTGAGAGAGGTATATTTGGCCATAATTACGTATTGCATGACCCACACTTTGCTTTTAAACCCATTTTCTTCCAGCAAGTTTCCTTGTACATGTGTTCGTACAGCACAGCCTCTAGCTCGATGAGGCCCAAGCTCATCTTGGTGACTGTAGTGCATGAGATAGTGGCAGGGAGCAGCTCTTTTGTGTGTTTCTTTGTGAATATATAATTTATTCTGTCAATGCGCAAGAGTGCTACAGATAAAACCAGCCATAGGATTACAGAGCAGATGACAAGCATATGAAAACTACATGGAGAAGAAAAGACAAAAAGAATGAAAAGGGGTAGAAGCCACAGCGAACCAGAACTTACTTTGCATTAATTAAGACCAAGACAGGAAAGGTGAGAAATTCAGTTTTTTTCCCCTAACAACTTTCCAAGGCAGAAAAACCTGTTTTATTAAAAAGAAATGCAACAATTAAGTGAGAAGAGACTTTGCTTGAGGGTAAGACTGGCATCATCCAGTATTTTCAATTCAGTGATCAACTTATTCTAAATTCAACTGGAGAAATTGTTTTTTTTTTCCTTCATGGTTTTATTTAGAAGTAAGTTGATCATTGAATAGAAAATACTGGATGATGCCCTTAAAGTCTTACTTAAATTGTTGCATTTCTTTTTTTAATCATACATTTTTTTTTCTTCCGCAGTTGTATTTAGACGTTTATTTTAAAATGTAAAACACTGCATAAATTGATGGTACTATAGAAGTGCCTGTAATAAATATACAGCATATCCGTACATTCTTGTACAGTTATGGTCTCATCTCACACAACTATAAGTAGCATGTCTGTTCATTAACTATCAATTGAAAGGCTAAGTATCTTTGTGTGATGTTGACGAAGTTCACAAAAATTTCTTATAACACTGGCATTCAGCAGTGCAATGAGAAAGACACCTCCCATAATACAAGCCCGTCTCAGGTCAGTGCCCTCATACCCTAATTAATGGTAAATAATAAGGCAAACACTTAGCAGAAATAAATCACACAGCGATCAGAATGAAACCCATTTGTAAGTGTGGCAAGGCATTAAGCATGCAGGGGTTTCTGGGCTGCTTGAGGAGGAGCTGGAGAATACAAAGATGCAGGGAGGGAGCAGATGGGAAAATAATTACTTTTGAGGCTACTTATTGCACAATGAAAAAATGTACCACGAATGAATGGAAACATATCATGTAACACATTACTGGCACCAGAACATAAGTGATTTGTAATCTAAAATAGTTATAAATTACGATGATGAAAAATATACACATAAAAGTATTTTTAGTGAGAAAAAAAAACAAAACTAATTTTTACAGCAGCAAATGAAATGCAAAGTAGGACAGAGAATGAAAAGAACCACGGGCCAGATTTAGTATCCTTTTAATTGAATTTGCGACTAAATCACCTACAGGAGAAGGAATAAAGCCACATATTTGGATTCTTTTGTTTTGCTCTTTGCTTAGAATGAAAGAGCCGATTCTGTAATCTCTTGACATACAAATCTATTGAGGGCACAGAATGCACAGCTCTTGGTAAACAGACATCCCCATTCATACAGCTCAAAGAAACAAGACACATCTAACTTGTAACAGATCACAAAGACATGGGAAGGGGGGGTGATGTATGGAGGAGAGAAGAAAATCGGAGATTCGGGGGAGGCAGCAGAGATGTAGAAAAGACTTGAGAAATATTAGATGCAGGGGTGGGAAACACTTAAGAAATGCAAAATTGGAGTAAAGGGGGGGGGGGGGGGGGAATCAAAAAGGAGAAAAAAAAAGGAAAAAATATAATTTGTATATATTTCCAGGGGATAATTTATTTTATATATAAAATTTACAGCAAATTCAGCTAAGACTACTGGTTGTACCAGACAATGATCTATTAACATATTTTTTTTTTATATATCTCCATCTTGCTGTAGTAGGAACATAAGCTATGAAATATAGGCACCACATTAGCACAATGTACTAATGCTAGAGAATGTAGGGCACGCCGCAAAAAAAATTCCCCAAAAAATCCAAAGGTTTTTAAACAGAGGGCTTGTACAATTGCCTCTTGCCCATCTTTGTATTCCACAGACTGGCTGGTTATCATCCCAATGTCCTGAAATGGCTAGTTTTAGATAAATTGCATCTAAATGTAGAGGTACCATGAATCCTATTCTCAGTACTGAATGGTGAGAACATCCCACAATCACCTCAATTCTGCTGATCATACATTAACTGATGTGTGGTAGTGATGCACTCAACCTGAACCTTGCTAGAGATAAGTAGCCAGGGAGATATGAGCAGAGCATGGGTGCTTTAGAGTTGGCTGTAGAAATTTATAGAAAATCTCAGGTCAATTATGGATTTTTAATTTTTTTTTCACATGTAGGAAACGAATAGTTATGCACTTTATTTCTGACTATAAGAAAAACCCTTTTTGAGGGAACAAAAAGTTGGAAGGGGAGAAAAATTATAAGGATAGATCTTTTACTAGATTTTAGAAGAATAAAGCTTTTAGTAAATTTGTAGATTTAGGAAAAACCACTGAAAATGTAGATTTAGGAAAAACCACTAAAAATGTAAAAAACACAGGTTTTTACTAAACAAGGATGGACCAAGAATAATATAATGTTGGCAGTAATGACACATATCATGCTATGATTACAGAGGATTTAAGGAAGCTGCGTTAATGATAAGTGTCAGGATGTTTTGTCAACCACCGTGCTCCATCTAGAACCCCTCTAGTGTACATTATAACTTTATTAGCATGACTTTTGTCTATAACATCTTGAATGAAGGATAAAGGCAGAAAACAGACAGAGAAGGCCTTTGTTATACCTTTCTGTCTGCTCATAATACAAGTGACAGCAACGGCGTACAGATGCAACGAGGGAGAGAGGAAAGGCGATGTAAATATAAGTATTTAGCAAGGAAAGATGAGAAAGTGGCTTGGTATCATCCACCACTGCATTTTACTGCTCTGGGATTATTAATGTGTGGGTTTCGGGGCACATGACACAAATTATAATTGCAGTTGGTAAATTGTGAATCAGAGGAAGAAGAAAACAAACAGAGAAAGGCAGGGTATCCTGCTCTCTCCAATCACCCTCCATATGTTCCAAGAATGTGAAGGTAATTGGAACAACTGTTGTCTGAATAAGGTACAAAGAAAGCAGCTGTGCTATTGTCCCCTACAACACTACTGAGCGAGAGAGAGACACAGAGAAAGAGGCAAGTAAAGGAGGGGGTGCTGAAAGAGGGGAGAACTGGAAGATGAAGAGCAAGCAGTGGGGTGAACCAGGAATGGGCATGTCTCCTCCATAACAACACGCATTACGTTTTACTTGCTGCGTTGTGAAAAGTTTAGAGGAAAGAGGAAGGAGACCTTTAAAGTGGTGATGTGAAGTAAGAGGAGGCGGGTGGTGATGGTGGTGGTTAGAGGATTGAGAGGGAAAAGGAGATTAAAGAGACCTCAGGAAGAAACCTTGTGAAAATCCTTCTCTTGGAGGCTTTGCAATCATTTAATCTTTGAAAATGAGGTTTCTGGGTAGGGCAAAGGTATTTTAGGGATAAAGAAAACTGAAATCCTCTACTATCCCTTAAATAGGCACTGAAAGGGGTCAACTTGAGAAATGTCACGCATCATACAGAAAAAATGTACTTGCATGTTTGACCCTTTTATGCAGTTTGAAGCTAAGTATACTTGTAACATATTCACTAGATAGTTCCTACACACTCATCCACTAATACAAATCATACAAACAGGCATCTAGTTGTATGTATATTTACCTAAATGTTTTAGGAAGTGATTATTTCAATGTGTGCTTGCCACTGTATTAAAGAGAAGTATGTAAATGGGTCAAATGGATGTAAAGGTATAGGAGCAGCCCATCCCTGCAACAAATGTCTAGCAGCCATGAGTTTGTTTCCAAATTAGCACGATTGTCCATGATTTAAAAATAAAAAAATCTTGCAACAGAATTAGATATTTTCACCAGCATTCTAGAAGATTTCTGCAGGGGCTACTGATTGCAAAAACATGCTAGGGCTCAACTACCTTCACAAATTGGGGCTGATTTTCTAAAACTGGTGAGTGCAAAGTCTAATGCAGCTGTATGGCAGCCAATCAGCTTCTAGCTTTAGCTTGTTCAAATAAGCAAAATCCTTGAAGCTGATTGGTCTCTTTGCAGAGCTGAACAAGATATTGCACTCTCCAGTTTTAGTAAATCAACCCCATTATGTCTAATAATGATGCATCCCTGCCATTCAGAGCCAATATTTCACTATTTTAGGGCCTGGAATCTGATAGGAAATAAATTGCACCCAGTGCTATAAAAACCCATTGAATGGGCTGTGAATTAATTCAGAGGTTAATAAAATTGGGGAGATGAGAGCAAAGGGCTTGCCGTTGTATATTTGCATTAAGTGATCAATTAATCCAGACGGGGTTGCAATTTTGGATAAAACCCCTCCAGCAAGAGAATTACATGAATCATTTCATTTGCTTTAAAATATAATATAGTACATGGCTAGCCTTCCAGTGTGGAGCCTAAACACTATCTCATTACAAAATGTATCTATAGGGCTTTACAAATCCAACACAATAAAAACATAAGTACTACTAGCAAAGCAGCCTTCAACTGTCCAGATACTAAATCTTTCTGCATAATACAAAAGCTACTGTTTAGTTGTCGTTCCCCTTTGTAAAAACACTTGAACGCTGATTGCAGTACCAATGTGGTATCACAGGTGTATGCAGCCTTTTCACATAACTCTTGTTGTTGAAGATAGATCTCTACCAGCTGATCACTGGTTCAGGAAGGGAAGATGAGAAGTTTGTTATCGGAAATGTCTGTATTACTCTGTGCAGAGTGGAAGAACAGACATAATATCTTTTTATTGTCTTTAGGTGAAATGAGCAATGTGCACCCTGATGTCTGCATAAAGACAGGATTTCTATGTCCTGGTGTTTGTGTATTAAGTGGATACAAGACATAGGTGTACTGCTTAGGATCCTATCATAATGCAGGCAAATATATTAATGCCCTGGTACCACCCAGGATTCTCATCTTGCCTTTCACTCCAGCCAACTTCCATCACTATGGACCCCAATTACATAATCTATAAAAACAGATGCAAGTGGAGACAGGGCCTGTTACTGGGGAGGAACTTGAGAAGGCAGCAATTCAAGTAATACCTTTGGTGGCATTATGTAATGTAATGACAGTCTTAATATCTGCATTTTGAAAATATTAAAGGGGTAAATCTGTTAAAAGTAAGATGTGAATTTTGTATTAAAAAAAAAAATATGTAAACATGTGCCAATATCCACAATGCATAAAATACAGGTGATTTGATGCCTGCCTATTGTAAATAGTGTGAATATTTAGATTTGTGAATTCAGAGAAGGGCTAAATAAGATTTAGCAAAAATAGACAAATTAACTATATAGAAAGTGACATAGCCAGACTGTTTGGTAAAAAAAAAAAAAAAAAAAAAATCATGGTCCACTGTAAGAACTTGCATTGCAAAATTATATTTTCACCAATAAGGATTGACATCGAATCTGCTGTTCATTTCAGTGATGGTATTCCAATCAGCCAAGCATCTTCTGTCTAAAAGTTTATCAAACTCAGACTGTAGGTTACCTCCATAGTAGCTGTAAGCGCCAGATCCAAGAATGTCTGACTCGTCTAGCCTTCCTCCTAATGGGCGCATTCGCCTTGGGCTCCTGAAGAACGCATGCCTTCGTGCACCTAAAGCGCTCAACTGTTTCATTCTTCTCTCCTTGGATCTCCTGTTTTGGAACCAAACCTATAACAAAATTAGAGAAAAACCTTTAAAGAAATGTCTCTATATTGAGTTGTAAAGAGTTCTTAAACCAAAAACCTTGCACCCAGTGTAGCTAAAGTGCATATGTATTGCAGAGGGGCAAGGCTAGAGATAAGTGAACTAATCTGTTGGTTTCCACATCTGCCCCGGATCTGGCTGATACACAGTCAGATTGTGTCTGTCGCAAATTGCAGGCAATATGTTAGAAGATCTGCAGGTTTTCTTGCCAGCTTCTTCAGGGCTGAAATGAATAAATGTTTTATACACAGCTAGCAAGACTTTGACTTTTGATAGCAGCCCCTTATAAACACCTGTATATGGGCTGGGGAAAGAAGACCAGCAACATCAACCAATAAAACTCTGCTGCATTGCAGAGTATAGTTTTTATCCACCAGTCATGACAGTGGAAAGCAGATAGTTGACTTTGTCAGCAAGCTGCTGCTAGTTCTTTGCACAGCCAGCATAAGGTGGTTGATATTGGAGCAGGCTGTATTGGTAAAATGCTGTATAGCCTATGTTCAGATCAAAGTGGGTGCAGGAACTGCTATGCGCAGTCTTGAATTGATACTTGGATCACAAGACTGGTTGAATATAATTATAAATCCTTGGCAGGTAAACAGGTTGCATATATGCATTTCAATAGGTTTTTTTTTCTTTAGCTGGGTGCTTGTAGTTCACCTTTAAACAAAAACAACCTCAGTAATTTCTAGCCACAGGCTAAGTGAATCTTATAGAGATTATAGAATTTGAAGCATGGCACTCAGAGTTGCTCTTTTTTCAATTCCCAAAAGCACTGCAAATGAAGAATCCTAAGCTGCAATTGCAATGTTAATTTTACAAATATACTGTATATGACCAAGCTTTTCCTACAAAATGGAGTTTTTGAATTATCCAAGCAGCATGCCAGAATATCTATTCTCTTCTTGCCAACTTCTTAAAAAAAATTGAGGCTGAACATTATGATGGCCTCCTAATTTTCACCAGGACAGGGTATATATCGACTTACACAGGGGCGGACTGACCATTTGGAAACTCGGGCACTGCCCGAGGGCCCGGAGTCAGTAGGGGGCCCCATGAGATGCCCCTGGTACATTTTTCAAAGGCTTTTTTGAGTTTGGGCAAGGACACAGGGGCCCCATGATCCCCTATTCCCCGGGGGCCTCATGAGTTGTCAGTCAGCCCCTGGACTTACATATCTCCTTTCCCCACTGCATCCTTCAAAAACCATAGGTTATATCGAAGATCTTGTGCTCACCACCACTCCCAAGCTAAAGCTTTGAGGCCCTCATGGTAAATCACCTGTCAGATGCAAGTTATGAAAATGTCAAAGGATTACATGTTCACAGGTTTCTCACAGATACAAGCCAATTTTCCTGGTATGCCAGGCTGGTATCTTTAGTGAGAAAACAAGTTAATTATGAAAAACTGTCAAATAGGATTCAGAGGGTCCAACAAAGAGGCTGCATAATAGATCCTCTTTAATGGAAAGAAACCAAACTGGGATAATGAAAATGTCAGAACAACAGCAAAAGCATGAGACACAGGAATATTACAGGAACTGATAGAGTAGGTCTGTAATAGGTTGAAACCAATGTCTGGCATGAATTGGTAATCAATTGGAGGCATGTGATAGCAAGGAAGTGGGGTGCACCTAGGCAGAACTTGCAAGTACACACGTAGTTTGAGGTAGGTGCTCTGTAACAGGGGCAGACTGACCATTTGGAAACTCGGGCACTGTCCGAGGGCCCGGGGTCAGTAGGGGGCCCCATGAGATGCCCCTAGTACCTTTTTCATAGGCTTTTTTGAGTTTGGGCAAGGACACAGGGGCCCCATGATCCCCTATTGCCCGGGGGCCCCATGAGTTGTCAGTCTGCCGCTGCTCTGTAATCATAACATACTTCCTGCTAGTATGACAATACTTTATATATACAGTACAGTGACAATTGTCCTTCATGATTAGGGAGTGTTGCTGGCAAGATCACCAGGTGATATATAGTCATCAAATCTAAGAATTGGTAAGTTGCAATGTTACATTTTAAGACTTGGGTTTAGATACAGGTTATTGAAAAAAAATAAACCTGCACTGGTCAACAATCAGCCAAATTTGAACATTTTCATTATCTAGGTACAGTAAGGGGAGCAAAAACATACCTGCAGCAATTGGTCAATGTAAATAAATATCTAGGAGAACCCTCTAGAACCTTTTTTTCTAAAAATGCATTACTTGTTGCAGCGAGGCTGCCTAGAAACAATGCATCATCTAAAATATGTTTTAAATAAAGACTGTCACTTAGCTGAACAAACGTTTACAAAAAGGGGTGTCACTAGCATCAGGTACCTGGGACAGCTGCCCTGGGAGTTCCCACCAGATTCCTTTGGTCTCCAATACCAAGCATTGCTGACATTCTAAAGCATATCATGAAAAGGGGTGTCACTAGCATCAGGTGCCTGGGACAACTGCCCTGGGTGTTCCCCCCAGATGCCCCTGGTCTCCAACAAGCATTGAGCCACAGTTAGTCTCCCACAGCTGTGCAGAACCTTACTTTACAAAGGAGGCACTTTTCCATGGACCAACAGCAAGAGGGACTTTACTCCACTGTTCAGCAGTAAAGGGGGCACTTACTAGCAGCAGGAGGGCATTTCTCCACTGACCAGAAGTTAGGAGGCAGTGAGGCACTGTACTAGCCAGCAACAAGAAGGTACTGCTCCACTGAACAGCAGCAAGGGGGGCTATTCTCCATGACCTTCAGAAAGTGGGCACATAACTCTGACCAGAACCAAGTAGGCACAAATCACTGACCAGAAGTAAGGGGGGCATTTCTCTGCTGACCAGAAGTAAGGGGGCACACACACACGACCAGCAGTAAGGGGCACTCACCGTTGACCAGTAATAGAGGGGAAAAAAAAATACCAACCCACACTCTAAAGAGTGGTCAGTAAAACTGTCCAGCCTGTAAAAGAAAACTGTTCATTTACCTTTCCAGCTGCCTGTACCTCCGATCTTGTTAACTATTGCCAAAGACTCTTCTGCATTAAAAACACTGGTGATTCAGATGCCTGATGAGTGTTTGATGCAGAAAACTCTTAAGGCAAGTCTTGTCACTTTTCTTTTTCAGATTCACCTTTGAGAATTTTTTCAGAGGTGACAGGCCCACTTTAAGAGGGAATGCACAACACTGATCACCTACACTTAAGGGGGCACAGACACACACACTGACCACCAACATTTATGGGGACACTCCTTACTCACCACCAACAGGTGGCATTTTCTCCTGACAACTTTACTCTGAAAGCTGTGCCATGCATTACATAGCTCTGACCCCTGCCCTCTAATTGCTGCACTGTATATGCTATGGTGTGCATCAAATAGTCATGACTGCTGCACTCTCTACACAACATATTATTGCCTGATGTGCTGTATATATTATGTTTAAGTCCTGAACACACAGTTCATTGTCTCAACAGTTGCTGGTTTTAATTAAGTTCTTTTTTAACGGTAGGTTCAGAGAAAGTGTTAGATTTTTGTGTGCAGAAATACATATGAAATTGGAGAGTTTAATTTTGGAATAATGATTCACTGAACTGGGAGTTTAATTACTGTGCCACAAGTGACAGTGTCCCAGACACATTTAAAGACTAACAGGGGGACTGGCATGTGCCTGAAGTATATATAGTGAATAGGCACAGGTTCTGTATAATCATTCCCCTTTAGGTTAGTCCTGCGGTTAGGTTCAACTGCCCACTATTCACAATGCACACTGCATAACTACTTTCTCTGTTGTGCCCCTTGGTGCCGTGGGTCTTTCTAACAACACCGCTGTATACAATATTTCCTCTTTGCCATCTGCTTCTACCATGTTATATTAAAATGTTTGTCACTGCCAGACTGAAATGACTACTTAAACTACATAATAGAAAATGGGGAATCAAAACAGGTAAATCTTTTCGATCTAAAAAATTTCCCTGGATGTAAATTCTAAAACATATTCCTCAACAGCTTAATCTTTACAAGACTGCCATTTAATGAATAGTATTTTCTACAAAAACTGAGATTTTTCTTTCAAGACTGATTCAACATAACAATGCAGTCTGAAACCACAGCATAGAACATTGTATGATTTGTACTGACCAAAGCTAATGCTACCATCTAATGCAGATTGTTCATTTCAAAGGCCTTAGCCGTTCCAAAAGTATATGAAGTATTTTTAACTTCTATAAAGTATAAAATTAATAGAGCACCTCCACTTAAAACCAATTTTTCAGCTGTGCGTATACATCATATTACATAGATCTACATCTATATTAGTGAGGACTTCCAATATCGACTTGCCTCCCTGTTCTTACCCACATAAAGAAAGTGTTACTCTCTGACAGCTATATTTGCCAGTTAATTGTTTAGTATATAGCTCAGCTAATCCATCCTGACACCATGAGTTGGCTTTGTAATAGTTGCATTGCTTGGGCAGAACTTCAAATTCTGGTAGGAACATCTTGCCAGTGAAGAGATATCATCATACAAGTTAATTTGCCAGCAACCACCCAATATAAAATATGAATTTTGACTGTAATTTTACTGATTGAGTCTGAAGTGTGGTTCTGGAAAGCTTACAGATTACATAGTTTGTGCTATGGTGTTGAGGGGGAGGTAATTACAAACCTTGAAATGGTTTAAGACTTGTGAAAACTGTGATGGCATTTTAAAATGTAAGGTCTGCAGCTCATCTCTTGACTTGGGTTGTGGCATGGCATCCCACCCCTAAGATGAGGGATTACTGAGAACTTTGGAGGAATTCTTACCGGGATAAGCCGCGAGAGCAGGAACATGAAAACCATCAAACATGAAAACCACTTTATCAAAAGCATCATATCCTGTACAAGCCCCTCTAAAGGGCTTATAGGATCCGGATTACAACTCTTTCAGGGGGATGAATGGGGACCCCCGCCTGAGAGACAAGGGAAGGACCTCACTCTTTTGCTGATGAAATGAGGATTAAAAAACACCAATCTTTTTCAAACTGAATAATAGGCAAAGACTTACAGAAAAAAAAAGGTATTGAGCTTGGAAAAAAGGCTACAGAAAAGTGAAAGGACCACAAAAAACAAAACATGTAACTATAAAAGAGAGATCAAGCCTTGTCACAATGTACAGATCTACACCTGATAAAAACTAGACAAGATAAAAAAAAATTATCACTGTTTATGTTGTGTATGTGAATTTATGTTGTGTTCTATGAAATTAAGCTTCCATTGTTTAATAAAAAAAAAAAAAGAACAGTATATTTTAATTGTAATGATTTGTCATATGGATTTCCAAACATTGTGCCATATTTCAACAAAAGTGCTCATTTTTAGGTTTGCACACAAGTGTCTTAACTGTATAATTGAGCTATATGGGCAATTTTTAGTCACCTAAAATGTTACCTGGAAATGTGTGTGCCCAGCAAACCCTGTTTGATGTATCAGGCCAAATAAAGTCATTGGAGATTAGTTACAATAGTGCCATGTTGCTGGACTTAGTGCTGCATGTCTGTATAAGAAATGTGAAACTGTTAATTATACTTGCATATGTGCACACTCAGGTAACAATGCTTATTGCAAAAAATCTTTTTGCCTTCACAAACTGCCCCAGATAGCTCAGCTTTTAAACATAGAAACTAAAAACAGTCAAAGTTTTGGCATAAAATTAAAATTTAACCATAATTGAAATGCACCAATCTTTTGCAAAAAGTCAAAGCAGTTATTTTGTGGCCTGAGTCCCAGAAGTTATTAACATTGTTACATGCTACAAAGGTGCCTCTATAACACAGGTGTCAAACACAAGGCCCGTGGGCCTAATCTGGCCCTCCAGGCCATTTCGTGTGGCCCTTGCACCTCTCCTGCAGGTACCCCCTTGTCTCTGCCCCCACCTTGTCTCATCTCAGCAGTCAGCAGCAGAGAGAAATAGAACTCCTTTTACCAAATCCTGCACCTCAGTACAGCTGCAGCACCCCCTCATCTCTGCCTGTCCTGGTCTCAGCATTCAGACTCTGGTAACTGTCTCCATTCCTCCTCTGGTCCTCCTCCAGACCCTGCACTTTCTGCTTTCCACCTCTGCACGGTGTTAGGGAGGGTGTGGGATTCTTGACATCTGATGTAATGGGGTTCTCTAGACATCTAGTCTTATATATACAACTGGTCCTTTGAGGGAAACCATAATGCCTATATGGCCCACGATGAAATGGCGTTTGACACCCCTGCTCTATACCATGTTACTCTGGTTAGATTTTTGATTACAGCACCTTTAGAGTCAGGTTAGATTAGAATCGCATATTTGATCTTCCTTGCTGGACAATATTTGTTCTGTGCTTGTTGACAAAATCTTAAACTCTGAATTGACCAGAAGACTCCTCCATTTTTTTTCTTGAATCTGTTTTACTCTGGAATTATGCACTCTAAAAGAAACACTTAGGGCAACCATATAAAAACAGACATGCATCCCCCCCATTTCAATTTCTTAATGGGAAACGTCATGCTTCACATATTTACCAAGCTCACTGAACATTCACTTTGCCAAGTCAACAGCCTTTGCTAGTTTAACACTTAAACCTCATAAAATCCTTACACTCCCTGAAACTGAAGCAAAACTTGAGCTTTGGCTTCCTCACATTATAAGTGAATACTTGAATGGCAAACAGAACCTTTTCATAACACTATCTGCAATTCAAAATACTGCACTATAAAATCTTATGGCTGAACGTTACAAGCTTCTCTCTTGTGAAAAGGCATCTAGTAGCTGAAAGTGGAGTGCTAATCAAGAGTCCGGCAGTCCATTAGTATTTCAGAGTTGACATATACAATGGAAAAGCTGCAGGTGATATGTCTAAGAATAAGGTATTTATATAATCAATGCCTGATGCTTTTAAAGATAGATTACATACTTAAATATTAGAAAACAAAACAAAAAAAAAACACCATTTTACTGCAATAGTGTAAAAAGGTACAAAAAAAAGTAAAAGTCAAAACTGTCATAAAGAATAGTTGTGATCTCACCTGAATCACCCTCATATTGAGTCCTGTTTCTTGGGCTAATTGCTCACGAATGTGCCTTGTGGGTTTGGGTGTAGCTGCAAAAGCTGCCTTAAGGGTCTCTAGTTGCTTTGCTTTTATGGTGGTCCTTGGTCCTCTTCTTTTGGTACCAGAGTTCTGCTCCTCGTTCTCATTATTGGTGGTTTCTTTATCTGAAGATGTAGAGTGATCTGTCTCTTTACTTTCATCTTGTACGGGGTCTTGAACGTCTGGAGACAAACTTCTGTCTGTACAAGAAGAAACTAAGAAAAACAAAGCAGAAGGGTTTTAAGAATTGTGTGTATAGCAGAAAAATCCAAATTGCACATAAATAGCTATGCATGTATAATACAGTCCACAAACTTCAGTACTTATTTTTACAGTGAAATGCGATCATTGAATACAATATTACTTTTTGTGCTCCTAAGTGTGAGATAAGAGCTATATTTAACAACATGATGCAAAGTACAATGATCTACAGTAAACCCCAGCAGTCAGACAGTCTTCAGTAAAAAATAATAGTTCCCATTGCTGTGTACAACTGCAGTTCACCTTCTTAAACATACAAAGGCAACATTTACTATTAGACTCATTACACCAATGCATTTGGGGACCTTATTTCATAACAGCCTGTTCTCCGGAACCCACGTATTCTACTTGCATCACCTTTTGGATTATACACCATCTGATAGGACTTAAAAGTCCCCATTTTTTTTTCAAAAGGGTGGGGATAGGAGGGATATTCTCTTCAATGAGTAGCCTATTAAATCTTTGACAATGTGTGTTGTGTGCCTGCTCCAGTCTCTTGACTGGCTATTGTGGCTGTCATGTAAGAGTTGGGGGTGGTTGCATAGGACAAACACATACCAATGACATTAAATGCCTTGCACCATTTCAGAAAAATTAAAATTGCTGTGTTAAAATCACCTCCACTTTTTGATTAACAAATGAATTTTACTAAAGGTCAGATGCTGTAAATGCCCTTTAAATGTTTGGGAGGAAGAAGGGTAGCATGAGATACCTGAAAATTAATTAGGTCCTATGAAATAATAAGCAGATTGCAGGCAAAATAAGTCAGATAAATGTGGGAAATGACTAAAATGATATTAAACTCATTAGAATCATAAATTAACCAAACTTAATAAAATGGATATATATGTGCTGAAGATTATTTGATTCCTATTCTCGGAATGTGCACTAGTTCTTCACATTTAAATAGATAAAAGATCATTCCCAAAGGTGGATACATCAGAACCCTCCACAACTACTATTTATAAGGATTCATTGTACCTTTGCAGCAAATTCACTCCAATATTACAATGATGCATTATAAATTCACTGCATATTTATTTGGCTTAAACATTTAGCAATGTCTCAACTGTCCTCTTGCCCACAAAATCCTAAAATCTTGCAATGTTTGTAGGGAAATGCTACAAACAGTCTTGAGACCCAGACAAGAGAATGTCATCTGAACATGCATATAGAAAATGATCAGACACAGCAAGTTCATCAAGGAAAGAACAATAATTGCCTGAAAAAAATTAAACCTCAAAATGCTTTCATATTCTTAGGCCACCTCCATATAATTTGCAGAAGGTATAAAAAAGGAAACATTCTGCACACAGAAAGCAAAGTTTGCAGAACCTAAGGGACAAGTAACTGCAAAAAATGAAATCCATAAAACCAAAACAGTGTCCAGCTTCTACAACATGCCAAAGGTAAAGAGAAATACATACATTAGCAAAATCAAATCTAGTAAGTTGAAAGCAATAAAAAAAGGTCTCTGTACCAGAACATACACAGAAACAACAACTAGAAGAAATGCAGATTTAACTACCGAACAGACTGTAGATAAATTTAACAATTAAGACATGTTCGTTCCTGATTTATACGTGGCTAGGCTCTAGAGGATTTCATAGGCCATCACAGACAAACGTGAAGGAGAAGTGTAATGTTCTACAGACCACAGATTTTAAACTATTTTTGTAACTTACATTTTTAAAGTTTGGTCCCCCATATTTGTCATTATATTACCTGTAGGGTTTTAGATTATCCCCTAGGGGGAGCCCTGTATTTTATTCAACCTCCTATAGCAGTGATGGCGAACCCGTGGCACGCGTGCCACAGCCGGCACGCCGAGCCTTATCTGTGGGCAAGCCAGGAGAATCCAGCGGCGCGCTGTCTTCCCGGCTGTAGTGTGCGTGACAGCCGGGTCCCAAGTGCGCATGCACAAGAAGCAGTGCTCTTTGTGAATGGTAAGGCGGTACCTGGGACACATGACAGATCCCAGAAGCCGCCGGACCAATCACAAAGCGCAGCGCTTCTCGCGCATGCGCACTGGGCATCCGGCTGTCCGCCCACACTACAGAAGCCGGGAAGACAACGCGCGGCTGGATAAAGGAACAGGTAAGATAAAAAAAAAAAACTCTGCGGAAGTAAGAGCGGGTACCTGTCAAATTCAGGTACCCGCTCCCCCTCCCTCCCCAAAGGTCAGCAGTCATCCCTGTGCTGTCCGCAGTCTCTGGTCATCCCTGTGCTGTCCGCAGTCTCTGGTCATCCCTGTGCTGTCCGCAGTCTCTGGTCATCTCCTGTACTGTGTCCGCAGTCTCTGGTCATCCCTGTACTGTGTCCGCAGTCTCTGGTCATCTCCTGTACTGTGTCCGCAGTCTCTGGTCATCTCCTGTACTGTGTCCGCAGTCTCTGGTCATCCCTGTACTGTGTCCGCAGTCTCTGGTCATCCCTGTACTGTGTCCGCAGTCTCTGGTCATCCCTGTACTGTGTCCGCAGTCTCTGGTCATCCCTGTACTGTCCGCAGTCTCTGGTCATCCCTGTACTGTTAATTAGTTTGCACTACTGTACGAGTTGTTTTTTCTAAACCAAAAGCTCGATATTCAGGTTTCATTGCAGTGTTGGCACTTTGAAAGAAATAAGTTGGTTTTGGGTTGCAGTTTGGGCACTCGGGCTCAAAAAGGTTCGCCATCACTGGCCTATAGGATACCATATCAGTCACATAAGTGCATTGTTTTCAGTGGGTCATCTCACAAAACAAAGCATAAGATATATTATAGCACTGCAAACCATGAAGCAGTAAGTGTAAAAGTTATTAGTGATAATGACTTCTTTAGTTTACACATATAATTACACTCTACACATGAAGCCAAGATATTTAAACATTAAAGCGATACTAAACGTTATTTTTTTTTCTGTAAAATAACAAACATGTTTATACTAACCTGCTCTGTGCAGTGGTTTTGCACAGAGCATCCTGGATCCTCCTATTCTTAGGCCCCCCGCAGGCTGCCCTGACTCTTTCTGTTGGGTGCCTCCAGAGCAAGCAGCTTGCTATGGGGGCACCTGCTTCTCCGTGGTCCATTCATATAAGGAGCCGTGGTGTGGCCTCACCCCCTGTCTCTCCTCATTGGCTGACTGGCTGTGATTGACAGCAGCTGTATCAGCCAATGAGGAGGCACAGACCCGGGACAACCGAGGCCATTGTGCACATAGCTGGATCTTGATGGGGTTCAGGTAAGTATTGAGGGGGCTTTGGGCACTGCAGCACACATGCTTTTACCATCTTGCATAGAATACATGAAGGTAAAAGAAAAAAGTCTTTACAATCACTTTAATACACAATAATGATGTTATTTAAATTCACAATTATTTCTCTTTCACAGAAGTAAGGCTGGCCATAGACAGCTTGGATGATTCCGGTTCAGCAGGAATTCCTGCTCATCTGGACAAAATTGGAACTATGAGTGGCTCTTTAGGCACCACCCACCTCAACAAAAGTGGATTTAAAGATCAAACTAAGCTATGTAGAAAAGTTGTCAGAACAGTCACTGCATCCCATTAGATGCAGCCACTCTTGGGCACTGTCCTTGTAATCAGGCAGCGGCAGGGGCCATGGCAGCCTGAATACAGTAGCTGGAAGTGGAGATTCCTGTAGGGGAATCAACAGATGTGTATGGCCATTATAAGTAAAAACCTTTAGAGCTTTAAGATGCAGGAGTTGTAGGCTCAGTTACTTTACACCAGCTTCTCAACCTTTTCAACACAGAACCACGCTTGAAATACTTTCTGGGCTCAGGGAACCCAAGCTAAAAAGGATGATTTCTACAACTCATGATACATTAGTGTGATGTTCAGTGGGAAGAATGCTTCTTACACTTGTGGTCATTGGGTAGACTTACCCCCTTACAGATAGCTAAAAATATCAATGGTGACAGTGGGAACTTCTCTGAAAGGCAGAAATTGCCAATTGCTCTAGAAACCATTAGCAACCTCTGGAGGAACCCTAGAGTTCCATGGCACCCTGGTTGAGAAACCCTGCTTTACACACGTCATGGGTTCCTACACTTAACAATGCAATTGAGCAACATTTTACATGAAGGAGGTACAATCCAAACTGAACTAAAACAATTCTTCACCTACTTAGGGTGGTAGCACCAAACTGGCAGTACTCTCTAAATTAACAGGCGTCACTACTATCTACTTTTAATACAACCTGGGGATAATGCAACTATATTTCAGACTCAAATACGCTAGTAAAGTGCTTGGTAAACTATATAGATCTATTGGAGAAACTGAAGACCTCCACATAATGGCAGATAACTGGACCAAGCAGGTGCATGATTAATGACAACATAGCACTCCTGTATCATGGCTCCTATGGTAATCATTCCTGCTAGTAAACACTATACTCACTTGAACTTTGCACACTGGCAACAATATCTTTCTAGTAAACTTGTTACCGCAGTAGTGCGTAAGGTCTCATCAAGATGGGCATCTGCAGGTCCTTTGGGTTCTTCTGTTTAATTCATCTCAACAGTTTAAGGTTTAAAAATAATAAACATACTATAAATAAAGCCATGAAAACAACCAACAACTATAGGACTAGGATGAGGTACAAGTCTGATTTTGGCATTATGCAATCAATACGGTAAGTTTCATGATCCTGTAGGTGCATTTTAAACTGAAGTAAGAGGAAAGTCTGTCCTGCAAACAGCATGGAGGACATATTACTCTGCATTACCCTGTCATATACATTGTAAACTATTGTGTAAGTACATGATTACTTATTGGTCAACATCAGGTTGCAAGGGTATTTTGTCAAATCTTATGTAAAATGAGAGAATCAGTGTTTATGGACTTGTCTAACATACAAAGAGCATCAGTGATATATAGACCTTAGCTATCAGTCAGGAATAGGATTTCAGCAGCTGAATTCTGACTGGATGCTATGGAATGGTGTAGAGTGCTACTC